AGCTATCAGTACGCTTTTTTCTATGGAACTTACTATAAATTTCCATACGATCAATTCATTTCTTTCTCTAGAACTCAATATTACTTTCCTTTGATCTGCATTTTGCACAGTAATTTTATCGGTCAACTAATTAATATGAAACTAATTGTAACTGGATGATGTTCCAAGGAGTTTAAAGAGTTTTCCCAGCCATTGAATCCCAGTAATAAGCCTCTCTCACCTGTGCAGGTGAATGTATGTCCGTTGAGGTGGTTGTTATCTGCGTTAGAGGGGTCACTATCCTTAGGTTCAGTTCTCTGTCCAGCAGGTGAGGTCATCGCCCTATAGGACCCTCTTTTTTTCTTCAGATTTCAGTGAGTTTCTGTCTATCTCTTCTCTTCTGTCTCTCCTCCAGCTTGGCTGTCCTTCTCGTTCTCTCTGGCAGCCAGGTGTAGATTCACAGGTGCGTGACTCCTCCCTCCTGCAGCCACACAGACACACATCAGGCCCCTCCTCCCTCTGCTGCCTGAATAAACAGAGCAATGTGACATCAGCATCACAGAACAATAGCTATATATACTTGCGTGTAAAGGATTAATGACTGGATCAGCTTTTGATATTACATTAGTTTGTGGTTAAGATGCAATAAAAGGGATGTTGGGAATGTAATCAACAGAGATTGTTTTAATAACTGATTTTTTTTTTCTTTCTTTCTTTTTAAGACTGTCATGTATATTACATACGATGCGTTCCTATTTAATTTTTTTTTTTAATATAAATATATAGCATTTAACGTATCTGTAATGATGGTCCACTGAACAGCAAGTTGTAGATGAATCCAAGTGCAGATTTATTATACAGAGAAAAATCCAAAAATCCAAACAAAACACAAAGGCTTGACTTGACTTGACTACAGACATGAAACAACTCACCAAACAGAGGTTAATACATTCAGTACACGACAAAAGAGACAAAGGCTACATGAGGGCTACTTATAGCAAGCAATAAGGGTCACATGACATAAACCAACCAATGAGAAACAAGACACATGACTAGGACAACCAAACAGGGCCGGGTTTCCCGATAACGATTGATCTTAGCGCTTAAGAGCGTTTTCTACAAGTTATTTTACGATCGTTTGTTATTGTTTCACGTGCGTTTCCCAAAAATGCACTTAACACAATCACACGTAGCCCTGCTTTAAGTGCTACTTAGGAGTCGCCATCCTTTTGTCAAGTGCTGAAAGGTCACCTTATCGCAGTGGTTCCCAAACTGGAGGGCGCTTCCCTAGGGGGGGCGCAGAGCTATGACAAGGGGGGCGTGGAAAGGCTTAGGGATAGTGTACAGTCAGCAGATTTTGGGATAAAGACTACACTGTGTAATTTTCCCTCTTATCATGCGGCCACTTGCCTGATAAGTAAATAATTGAACGCAAAATATTAATTTGACATATTTTAATAACCTCAACATGACTCGCAGTACCCGCTTTAGCGCTCCGTTATCAGTTGTAGCAGTTGTGGTTGTATCAGTAAAAGACCACTAGATGGCGTGATTGAAGAATCAGAGTTAAGCATGTAACGTTAAGTTACAAGTTTGGGAAAATACTGCCAGTGCCAGGTACGTAAAGCAAATGATGAATATACTTAAGATTCACAAATACCAAAACAACGTGTCTACACCAGACGCGAGCGGCGCGACGAGACAAAAGCAAATAGAAACCCAGTTATGTTCTCTGCTGTACATGCGGCGCGCCGCGACACAAATCCATGACAGTAAACTGATGCCCTGTTTTATTTCTGACGAACTCCAGCGCTCTGACACAAAGGACCGTTGGATTTGCAATGTTTACTTTGTCGCATCCAGTGTGGTGAAAACACAAGAAAATATGACTAGGCATATCTCGCCCTCAGATTCACCAGTAAAACGGTGGGTAAACAAGTTTAGACGGTAAGTAGACTAGTTAAGTAGTACTATGTTAATCACAATATTTCAAATCGTTATATATAATTTTGCAATCAAGGTCATGTCTGAGATGAAAATATTTTTCTTTACAAAAGGGGGGCCCGACAGAAAAAGTTTGGGAACCACTGCCTTATAGAATGGCTCGTAATTGTAGTACACGCTCGTTTATTGAAATGTTAACCTAATGCTGCGTTCCAGAAAACTCGGATATTATAAAGCAATAAGCCCCAAGAAGCCGTGGTTTACAGTGATTGCCAAGCAACAGACAAACGTAAACAAAGGTGTATGTCTGTAGAGTAATTTACAACAGCTTCTAACGTGGCTCAGCCAATCAGAATCAAGGACAGGAAATATCCGTTTTATAATAACTATTATATTATATTAATTATATTATATTACTTTACATAATAATATATAATATACTTTATATAAAAATATATACTATAGTAATATCTATATAGAGACGTTATTTCCGGGTCCAATACATTTCGTGCACGTCAGTAAGTCATTGACAGATTTTCCCCCCAGTCTATGCAGTCTTTGAAGCATATTTCCAACATTACTTCTTTTATTCATTTTTTTGTTCAGTCATTTAATGTAGTTGTGTATTTCAATTTTTTCTGCCATTTTTAATTATTTCACTTATAAATTAATTTTAAAAAACGAGTAATAAAGTGTACAATAAAGTACAATCAAATCCTTATATTATAATCACATTGCACTTGAATAAAGTCAAAGGTGCAATCTGCCGATTGTCCTGCAGGTGACCGCATAAATTTGTCTTCTTACGATGCACTTAGGGCTTTACGATTACTCCAGAGCACTCGTAGATCTACGATGATTTTCAAGTGCTACTTAAGTTACGATGCTTTTGGGAAACAGACCGTAATTTTAAGATCAGTCGTACGATCGTTTTTACGAACTTCTTATGCCTGGTTCAGACTACACGATTTTAGCCCGATTTTGCCCCGATTTGCTTGAATCTGACACAGTGACTATCGTGACCGACAAAAAATATCGTGTAGTCTGAACCCGGCATTAGGCTTACGAAGATTTTGGGAAACGCAGCCCAGAACATGACACAAGAGGGCAAAGGAACCACATGACTAGACAGGAACCATGACTAAACTCCAAAATAAAAGACATGAAAACATGAACATAAAACAAACCCCAAAACCAGGCGTGACCGTATCTTAAAAACTGCTGTTTATACTACAATATACAAGTCAAATGTTCAAAATACAACTATCTTATATTTTATTTTCTTCTCTGAGGTAATAGATGCAGGACACTATTTGGCTGCTTTTTCTTCTCTGTTCATTCTAACAATTAAATGTTTGTTTTTGTAAAAAAAAAAATTCATATGCACAACTAATAATTGTTACTTTAAAATTATGTGAAACAGCCATGTCCAAACTTTTGGCTGGTGTGGTATGTTAAATCACTCAAGTACTTTATTAATGAAGCACTTTCAAAATGGCTCAAGAGCTGTATGAAAACTATATATGAATTTTTTTAATATCAATATATAAACATATATACAAAGGCAATTATATGATATGATATTATATGTCCTTTCTGCATATAAGGTTCACATGTGTGTACAAATATGTGCTGTCATTTTATTATTGTCAGTAATTGAGTTTGTTGTACCGAAGCTGTTTTGCTGCTGTTTTTTTCCCTATTGAATATTCATCATCATCAGTCTTTTTAGATTATTTTCTTGTTTATAAATACTACTGAGCTTAGATGTACATCTCAAAAACCTTGCCTGAAATGTTACAAGATGCACAAACATTTTTAATAAAATTGATTGAATGAATGAATATATAATTACAGTTTTTTATTTTATATTATTTAAATATATAATAACACAATATAAAAATTTACACATTTAAACTAACTAAATATATATTTTTAATTTCCATTAGATTATTTCCTATTTTATCCTAACTAATAGACAGTTATAAAATTATATTTTATTTAATTATATATATTGTGAGACAGATTTACTTTTGTTTAAAGAAAGAAAGAAAGAAAACAACTCCACATCCTGCCAGTAGAGGGCAGGCTCTCCGTCCTGTTTATTTGAGAAGTAACACTCACCAGTGCAGGCTCTGGCAGCAGTTGAACAGGAACTATGGCCAGAGAAGCGGCGGGTGCCAGGATGCCCACTGGCGCGATTAGGCTGGTTGAGGGATACTAATGGCGAAAACTATATATGAAAAGTTCAGATGCAAATGCCTCTAAGTGCCGTGTTCAGTAATTTCACTTAAATGGCAATGAAAAAAATAACCTATTCATTGCCATTAAAGTAAAATTACTGAACCTACACACAGGAGCCTGAGAAAAATGCTCATTTTAGAAGAAAATTTCAGACGATCTGATCTGAACTCTTATTATTTTTTCTTGTGGTCTGCAGTTCCTTCTCCTTCCATTAGAGGTCATCAAACTGTTGAGATGTTTGTTGAAAAGATTTGTTGGAAGTCTGGGAAGCTATCCTTGTTATTCTCCTCCAGAACTTGTGGCGCGTTCAAGTCATGTCGGATAGATCGTATTTACGAGTTGAACGCACATGAACGCCACCACAAAGTCGTTGTTACGAGTGGGAAACTCTACATTTTCTTTAAGCCCCGCTACTGCGCTTAGATGTACATCTCAAAAACCTTGCCTGAAATGTTACAAGATGCACAAACATTTTTAATAAAATTGATTGAATGAATGAATATATAATTACAGTTTTTTATTTTATATTATTTAAATATATAATAACACAATATAAAAATTTACACATTTAAACTAACTAAATATATATTTTTAATTTCCATTAGATTATTTCCTATTTTATCCTAATCTATAGACAGTTATAAAATTATATTTTATTTAATTATATATATTGTGAGACAGATTTACTTTTGTTTAAAGAAAGAAAGAAAGAAAACAACTCCACATCCTGCCAGTAGAGGGCAGGCTCTCCGTCCTGTTTATTTGAGAAGTAACACTCACCAGTGCAGGCTCTGGCAGCAGTTGAACAGGAACCATGGCCAGAGAAGCGGCGGGTGCCAGGATGCCCACTGGCGCGATTAGGCTGGTTGAGGGATACTAATGGCTGACCGCTGTCCTAGCTGGGTGTGTTAAGGAGGACTTGCCCTCTGTCTAGGGACTGCTTGGTTCACGTGGTGCGCTGGCGGTAGGACAGCGTATGCGGCCTTCATACACACGGGGATTAAATAAGAACAAGCCACATTTTAATGGCCCACTCGAAAAGCGTGCGGCTGGGGGGCTGTTCAGCACCAGCTGGGCTCTGGCGTTGGTAGTTTGCTCATGGCAGCCAAGATCTGCGGCTTCACAGTCTGTAGAACACACAGTCCATTAATCATTATCTTATAGCTTCTGATGGGAAACTTCATTTGGCCCGACAAGAGTCATTTTCATTTTAAAAGGAACAGTAAAGTATGCAGTAAAGTAAAGGGCATGTAAAGTATTTGGCCTATTTCTGATATCTGACTTTTGATTTGAACATTCAGCAGTTCATACCAATTCAGAATTTAAGAATGGTCTCCCTTTAAATTGATGAGTTAGAATTTGAATTTGAATACAGAATGTTGGAATGGAATGACAGGAAAATTAATTTACTGAATTGCAATTGAAAGATTTAGAACAGAAAAATTAGCCCAACACAACAAAATAGGCAAGATAACTTAAGGCATTCTGTTTAAGATTTCTGTCTTGTAAACCTGCTTCATGACTTAGAAATAAATTAGAGAATTTTGGGAAATGTGTTCTTCCACCATATGAAATAATATATATGTAAGTATATAAATTATATATATATATATATATGTGTGTGTGTGTGTGTGCAAATATACATAAATAAATGCAAATATCTCTAGATTGCATTTTACATTGGATGGTTCTAAATATATAGCCTATATTTTTCTGCAAATACACCTCTATGAAGTCTGAAAAATCATTAAAACTGATAAATCAAGTGCTCTATAAACTACAAACAGATGCAATATAATTTATTTTATTGTATTTTTAAATCTACTTCTTTCTAATATTAGAATTAAAATGCAACATATTTTACTAGCTCAGTTAAAATTCATGAATTTGATTCATCTCAGTTTAATTCTAAATAACATAAAAAGTTTTTCATTAAATGATTTTGAGACCATTTAAATGTGACAAACTCTCGGTAGTCATACTCTCAGACAAATCACATGCATTTGATAACATTGTTTTTATTTACCTTGTGTCATTGAAAGCGTGTTCTATGTTAGTGCGCCTCCTCGTGGCGGGATTCATGAACATCAGGTTCGCCTGTAGAAACAACAGTCGTGCGGTTAAAGCGCTGCAGTTTAATATTTTTCCACCAGGTGGCAGTAGCACCCGTCAGTCATCATTACTGCCTTTAACCACAACAAATTGAAAATGAAATTACTGTCAATCTATTGAGAGAATGAAGTTATGTCATATTGTAGTCCATAGAGGAAAAGAAATGGACAGATGGGCCACGGGTGCAGATAAAGCTGTTTTAAAGGAGGAGGAAAAAGCATGACAGTTATTTTTCTTTGTTTTATTCTACTGAATGGAATCCTCCCTTTCTTTCACATCTCTCATTCCCTTGTTCCCTGTTTTCCGTTCAATATTATGGCGTAAACAATGGTTGCATCTGGAAAATAATAGAGCAAACTGTGCTGAGTGTGGTATCCACATAAAGACACCATTGTTCATGAATAAATGAAACCCAAGAATAATGATTGTGGGGACAAAGAGTGGACAATGGACCCTGAAATGGATTATAAGGTTGGAAAAAGTACCAGAAGTGCAAACAAAACGATTGTCCTACAAAAAAAAATGAAAAATTACTACGAAATAACCCAACAGGACTAGGGTTGTTGCTCCCAAAATCTCGCTTAGAGCATGTTCCCATAAAGGTCTTAGTTTGTGGCTACCAGATCTTATCTTTACTTGACGGGCACAAACACACAAACACTCATTTTTGAGGATGTGGAGAAGAAGGGATGCAGAACGATGGAAGCCATCAATCAAAACATCGCTGCTTCTTCTATCTTTTTTTTATCCACAGCATCTTCCTGCTGAAGACACGTATAATCGTAATGTCTCTTGAATAAAATAAACTTCAAACATTAGATTCTGAGCTCAGACTTTGTAGTGAAAGACATTTAAATGTCATCTTTTAGGCAATATCAGCTCTGTCAGGTGTAGTGAAGTGGGCCAAGACAAAACACGAGCCTTCATTTCACCATTTTCCCTCATTTTGATAAGGTTGTTTCATTACCATATCGAAGAGGGAAGTTCCACTCTAAACTGCTGATTCTGTGGGGAACCATCGAGACTCAAATTTAGCGTGTTTATTTATATAAACAGACAGTTCATCTTCCACGCGCCTCCAGCCAAAGCGAAGCATCCGCACCGGGCTGCTTTTTTGGCGGGCAAAAGGGTTAAAACCGATCGGTAGGCATCAGTTTAATCATAATCAACCGAGCTAAAGAGGAGTAATGGAACCTGCGAGCCTGGCGCGCCTGTGTTCCGCCACAGATTAGCCGCTAATTTGCATAGTGCTTTCGTTCATCCACATCGGCCCGACGACAGGCCGTCCTCCGCGGACACAGCCATGCGTAGCCTCCGGGGCCGCTTTGACAAATGGCTGGCCGCGGAGCGCTGTCTTTGCGCCCAAGACGGGGCAGCGAGAGCGACGGTGATTGATAGTCTGACGGGATAAATAGTGCAGAACTTCTTCTTCTTCGGCTTCTTTTTTCTCTAATAGGAGTACAAGAGGTGTTTAAAAACCTGAGTAATGGAGAAATATGAAGCCAAGCAGAGCAAGAGGGACGGAGATTCTGTGTGTGTGAGTGAGTGTTTGTGAGTAAAGAGTTTGTGTAGAGAGGCCTACTCGAACATGAACTAAGGCCCTTTAAAGCCCGTTCACACCAAGCACGATAACTATAAAGATAACGATAAAGATATAATTCTAAAAATCGTTCTCAATATTAAAGAATAGCAGAGTTTACACCACAACGATAATGATACAGAGGAACGATATTGTTGTGATCACTTTCAAAACGTTTTTTTTTTCAGCTGATGAACGATAAAACACTGACAGCCAATCAGAATCCATCCTGCTGTAACGAGCTCAAGAATTTAAAGCGGCAGATGCGCATGTGCTTCGAATAAACAGACGATATCGTTCGCTGGTGTGGACGCTAATATCGTTATCTTTATAGTTATCGTTATTGGTGTGAACGGGGCTTAAGTTTGGTCTGACAGCTATTAAAACAACATGTTCTAAAGGCCCGTTCACACCAAGCACGATAACTATAAAGATAACGATAAAGATATAGTTCTAAAAATCGTTCTCAATATTAAAGAATAGCATAGTTCACACATCGTAAGAACGATAACTATAAAGATAACGATATTAGCGTCCACACCAGCCAATGATATCGTCTGTTTATTCGAAGCACATGCACATCTGCAGCTTTAAACTCTTGAGCTAGTCACAGCAGGAATGATTCTGATTTTATGTTTAAAATGCAAAATAAACATTTTTTTACAAGATGAGCACCACTTACTCAGTGAGATCTTCTGACAACCAAACATTTTTTTTCTTGACTCGTTATTGATCAGACTGCCAAAATGTAAAAAAATGCACATGCTTTAACTTTAAAAAAGGCATGCAAAAATGGATACTACCGGCTTGAATCCAGTATACACATGATGAGGTCAATGTAGCTGATCAAAACTATAATTGCATTTTGTGTGTTATTTAAAAATAATAGGCTGTATAGCAAGCATGTAACCACATATCCAGGTCTGAGGTGGACCAAATGTAATAATTTATGAAAATGTCATCCAGATTGACTGCTGATGGGAATATTTGGTGGGTTTTGTTCCTGTCAGTATCTGGTTATTGCCCTGCAGTATACAGTACATACTATGCAGTGCGCTAGTATTACATTCCAAACATACCTAATACTCCATCAAATTATTTTTCCTCCATTGTCCTCATCATCATCATTATCATAATGAATAATATATAGTACGTAATAATCAGCAATACGCAGTTCAGTGTTTGACGCTACTAATCTGTACAGAAATAAATGAATACATTTAAGGCCTGAGACTGAACCTCTCAGTTTCCTGGGCTGAAATTGAAATCAAATGTTTATTTAAATGTTTCTGTAGCCGTGCCATTGTTCTCATGTTTCAACCAGTGCTTTAGAACTGAAGAAACAAGGGCGGGCCGAGCCGATCAGCCATGATGCCACGTACATCATTTATTCTCTGCAAGATTTCTCTGCACAAACTCAACCGACTCGAGACTTGAGATTCTCAACACACTAAAATCACTGCACAATCACCTTTTACACCAATGCATAGAACAATAAAACCAAATGAATTGACTAAATATAAATGTAAATAGAGTCGAGCATTAAAATGCTTTGATGTTTAATAAAATGAAACATTTCCCGGTTAAACAAAAGCAAGATCATTATTATCTCATTAGGAATGATAATGCCATATAATATTTTTCATCTAACCTCACACACACGTTCAGTATGTCCCTGAGTGGCTGTCTGTTTGCAGATGAGGGTGCAATAAGGCAGTATAATGAATTCATTACATGCTATCTGACACCATTACCATAAGAATGCCAAACACATACATCAGCAAAGCCCGATTTACACACCTCACCTCGCTCAGCTGCTAGTACGTACACACACACACACAGTCCGGATCTGCACAGCTGGACATGCAGATGATGATGTCCTAGACGTGTATCAATCAAAAAACATGAAGAATCTTGTTTTCATAAAAACCAGTGATGTCACATACTATGATATAGACACCAAAAATAAAATATAAAATAATGGTTTTATCTTCTGTACAATAAGATAGAGCAAGCACAGTAATTAAAATATACATTTAGACATTATTATTTTTTATACATTTTTTATTATATTTTATTAATTTTGTATTACTTATTGTATTGTAAATAGAGCATTTTATTATATTTTAATTAAATTATTTTAAATGTATAAATCTCACCCTCCGCAGGTGCATTTTATATCTATCTATCTATCTATCTAGCTATCTAAATATTATATATATATAATTACTGTACGCACAAACTCATTGTAATCCTCCGCGGATGCATTAATGCACAGAGATAGATCGCAGGCATTAAGAAAAATAATGGTGTGGATTTTGCAGCCTCTCATCTCTGGTCAGAGTGCTTTAATAAAGTGTGTAATAAAGTGACGGGGTGAGCGTATGCTCTGAATTATCTGCGGTAAGTGCTGAAGATCTGTCTCGGTTATGAAAACACAGCATCACTCATTCACAATAAAAACCGGCATCATCGACTAAAGCAACAGTGCTTTTTCTAGCAGAAATGCAGACGTTACAGCTGTCGGTATCTAGATAGCAAGTTGATCTGACATTATTACGCAGGTGCTACATTAAAACATTACAACATTATATTCTGTTCATTTATGTTGGAGGTTATTAGGTAATTAGAGCATAATTCAGGGCAGATGGTAGTTAAAGATGCTTTATTGCATTAGAGCTCCTGGGACCAAAACTCTAGAGAGATGTTTATATATTAATGAAACTCATCTGGCTACAAACAAGGAAATTCTCATGTGAACGTATTTGGAACTAAGTTGAATCAATTACACCTGGAAAGTGAGATAAAAACAAACACAAATAAATAAAAACTCAATGTTGCTTGAACTCTAGTTCGGGCATGTGAAATGATTTGATGGTAATGGGAACTGGACCGAGACTCTAACAGCTGTATTAATTAATATGACTAATTAAAATGCGGCTTCCCTTATGGCTGTCCAACGAGATGTGATTGAAGATGGCAGTAATCAAGATGTGGAAAACTTCATTTTTTTAACCAGTTGACAGAGCTCGATTCAGTGTGCTTGGAAGAGAAATGGCCACTAAATACGTTATATAGAAATTCCAGGCACACATACACATCGGTTCAGGCCTGCGAAACATCACGCTGGTTGGCCGCTGCCAGAGCTGTATGTTCACACACTCTTTATAAAGCGCAGTATAATGAATTCATTACATGCTATCTGACACCATTACCATAAGAATGCCAAACACATACATCAGCAAAGCCCGATTTACACACCTCACCTCGCTCAGCTGCTAGTACACACACACACACACACAGTCCGGATCTGCACAGCTGGACATGCAGATGATGATGTCCTAGACGTGTATCAATCAAAAAACATGAAGAATCTTGTTTTCATAAAAACCAGTGATGTCACATACTATGATATAGACACCAAAAATAAAATATAAAATAATGGTTTTATCTTCTGTACAATAAGATAGAGCAAGCACAGTAATTAAAATATACATTTAGACATTATTATTTTTTATACATTTTTTATTATATTTTATTAATTTTGTATTACTTATTGTATTGTAAATAGAGCATTTTATTATATTTTAATTAAATTATTTTAAATGTATAAATCTCACCCTCCGCAGGTGCATTTTATATCTATCTATCTATCTATCTAGCTATCTAAATATTATATATATGTTGGAGGTTATTAGGTAATTAGAGCATAATTCAGGGCAGATGGTAGTTAAAGATGCTTTATTGCATTAGAGCTCCTGGGACCAAAACTCTAGAGAGATGTTTATATATTAATGAAACTCATCTGGCTACAAACAAGGAAATTCTCATGTGAACGTATTTGGAACTAAGTTGAATCAATTACACCTGGAAAGTGAGATAAAAACAAACACAAATAAATAAAAACTCAATGTTGCTTGAACTCTAGTTCGGGCATGTGAAATGATTTGATGGTAATGGGAACTGGACCGAGACTCTAACAGCTGTATTAATTAATATGACTAATTAAAATGCGGCTTCCCTTATGGCTGTCCAACGAGATGTGATTGAAGATGGCAGTAATCAAGATGTGGAAAACTTCATTTTTTTAACCAGTTGACAGAGCTCGATTCAGTGTGCTTGGAAGAGAAATGGCCACTAAATACGTTATATAGAAATTCCAGGCACACATACACATCGGTTCAGGCCTGCGAAACATCACGCTGGTTGGCCGCTGCCAGAGCTGTATGTTCACACACTCTTTATAAAGCTCAATTGAACTTCTTGTGTGTAATAAATAGAGTTGCCAGATCATTTGGGCCATATGTGCTGTATCACCCTCAAACACACAGACGGTCTTTCGCTCCGACTTCTCGGCAGCGTTCTGGGGACTGAACGTGGAAATGTGATACTGCGCAGCACCTGGGAGTCCTGCAGGAGACAGGATGTGTGTTTGGGTTCTGCTTGACTCCCGCGTGTTTCTGTTCTGTATATTATCATGCACTCTTGCCCTGTGGCCCGCTAGGCCCCGGGCTCCTTCTGAGCCTGCCAGTCAATCAAGACTGAAAATCCACCAGTTTAGCAGCAGATTTCAGAACACTTTTTATTATTTGCATAAATTAAAATGAGTGGAATACAGCATTTTTTGATTATTTGCATAAATTAAAAAACGATGACAAAAAGCCTTTTAGTGTTATTAAAAATAAAGGCTGCATTTTAATTTGCATAGTTTTTTTGTGCACTAAAACTATATGTACTTTGTCATTTTATGTAAGAATTTGTCTCCGTATTGGAACAATCTTGTCAAAGCTTTTTATATCATTTTTCAACAGGTTTGGAGAAAATTTAATTTAATTTACTTATTTAATTTACATTTATTTATTCAGCTTATTAACAAAAATTAGCTAACTAGACTAAAGCTATATTTAATTCTGCAACTAGAGCATTTATCTGGCAACAAAAACATCTAAACTAAATTAATTGAACTTAATTTAACAATAGATATAACTAAAAACAACTAGAAAAGTCATTTATATAACATTGAAAACATATTGACAAACAGTAAACTAAATATTCAACAACAAAAAAAAGAAAAGAAGATACAACAGTTAAAAATGAATCAGTGAATCGTTTATTTGATCACTGAATCATTTATTTAGATGAACTATGTTAACCAGTTTAGTCAAATATTAATTTGCTTTTGGGGGTTTTTTTCAGCTCAAAATTCCAGAGTGACTATCATTAAGTCCTTCTTGATTATTCAAGGCATTGTGGGCAATTTTAGCATGTAAAAGCATAAATGAATGCACATTTCCAAAAATCCACCAGAAATAGTAACTAATAATTGAGACACAGGCAGAGAGAGAGAGAGAGAGAGAGAGAGAGAGAGAACTGGGCATGGCTAGAAATGTCCAATAGCATGAGAGAATAATAGAGGTGGAGAGACATACATTAAGAATGTGGGCGTCATAAACATAAAGAGAGAGAGACGAGGAGAGAAAGAGAGCACAAAACAAGTGCATGTCATGTTAAATGAATATGGAAAAGAAAAAAGTGAGAGTAGAAAAGAAATAGCACTTTGATTGACTTTTTTCCCCACATAGGCTGGTTTGTCAGATTATGGAAATGGAGACGAGTGCCTAATATTACTTATTTTAGACACTCACATATAAACATCACACAGCATAAAAATTCAAAACCCCACTCCATCATTGTAAATGTCCAACACTTTTTCCCCGCAGTTAAGATTCGTCCATTACGCCCAGTAATTCGCCACACACACACATACACACATGGCCAGATGTCTTTCCTTCTCGCTTGCCATTAAAGAGTTTCTCTGTACAAACAGCAGGGGTCACTTAGTGACCCTCTGAGAGGTCAAAGGTCAGGTTCCCAGCCTGGCGTAGTCATGGTGATGGCATCTGGAGAGTTGCAGCAAAGTGGAATCTCCTCGGCTTGTCAAACCGTCAACACACACACACACACACTTGCTCCTGTTTGGGCTCATTAGGTTTATAATCTGTGTTCTTTATTGTAGTGGACTCCTCTTCGAGGTTGATTATATGTTGATAATCTCATTGGTTATGTACTTATTACATACTGTGTGTGTGCTGTCCATAGACAACCACAAAGCAGAACACCAGCCGCCCACATTATCCCATAAACGTGTTACCTGGGCAGTAGCTGTCCACTGAGTCCAGAACAGGCCCGGAGGGTTTGGTCTCCTCTCTCCCTGTCCTTCAGCTTTTCTCCCCACAGCTCCAGAGCCCGGCAGCTGAGGAGCAGAGCAGAAAGAGCTGTGTGCATCTGCTTCTGTGAAGTCAGCACGCCTGGAGGCTGGCATTACCACAAGGTCAGAGGTCATCGCTTTCTGGGTGGCTTCTCCCGTTTCGTTCTGCTGAAAGTCACGATGTAAAAACACAGTTTGAGAGATGTTTTTCATGAGCGTGAGCCCAGAATTATGATAAATTGCTTCCAAACTGTGTGGAAACCAAACGGACCTAAACATTGTTTGCAAAAAAATGTACCGTGGTAATTAAAGTTTCTGGCAAAATACCATAGTTAGTGCAGTTTTTGTTGCTTCTGTGGAACATATTTGACTAAGATGAGATCAGATTCATCTTTTGCAAACAATCATTTGCATAAACTTAATATAGCAAACATGCCCTTAGGAAAGAACATAGAATTTGATTAGAAGTAGATTAAATGGAGAGCAAAGAGTGAGTTTTGATGTAGTCATCTGGTTTTTAGATTTTCCCCTGAGGAAAAAAAAAAAACACTTACTCTCACGTGTCTCCTTTAGTGCTTTAGAAGAGATCTCAACGGTGTCTTAAACTGATCGCAGATTTGTCAAGATATCAAAGTTTGCAAAGTCAAATTTCAAACAAAAACAAATGGTGTGTTACTTTTACAGCTCTAAACTTCACGTCACACCAGCAATTTCTCATGTGTGTCCATTTTCATTTTTTCCAAAGAGAGTTTAGGAGAAACATCTGACTGAGACAACGTTTGTACCTAACTGAGAAGCTTATGAGAAAAAAAAAAGGAAAAAGATGATATAAAATATTAGGTCACACTTTATTTGAAGGTCCAATTCTCACTATTAATAAACTATTAACTATGACTTTTGCCTCAATAAACTCCTAATTTGCTGCTTATTAATAGTTAATAAGGTAGTTGTTAAGTTTAGGTATTGGGTAGGATTATGGATGTAGAATATGGTCATGCAGAATGTGCTATTTATACACTATTTATTAGTTATAAGTACTAATAAACAGCCAATATTTTAGTGAGAATTGATCCCTATACTATAATATTTAATTTAATATACTGTATATTATTAAATTAAATATAATAAAAAATAGTTTGAGAGAAATTAATACTTTTGTTCGGCAATAAAGCATGTTCTAAAGTGACAGTGAAGACATTTATAATGTCACAAAAGATTCCTATTTCAAATAAATATTGTTCTTTTAAACTTTCTATTCATCAAATAATCGTGGATATATATATCTATCACAGCATCTACAAAAATATTAAGAAACACAACTGTTTTCAACATTGATAATAATAAGAAATGTTTCTTGAGCATCAACTCATCATGCTTGAATGATTTCTGAAGGATCATGTGACACTGAAGACTGGAGCAATGATGCTGAAAATTCAGTTTTGCAACACAGGAATAAATGACCATTTTAAAATATATGACAATACAAAGCTTTTAAAAATTGTAATAATATTTCACAATTTGACTGTATTTGTAATTTTAAAAAATGAGGCCTTGTTCATAGTTAATGCCTGTGTGTGTGTGTGTGTGTGTGTGTGTGTATGTGTGTGTGATATCGGGTGACAGGTAAGGTGAGGGTGGCAGACTGCTGTCTGGGGGGCGTTTGATGTCCATGTAATAAATTCAGGACGGAGGTTGTCAGTGATGTATATCTGACAGGCCCGTGTGGGTGTAAAGTGTGCGTATATGTGTGCAGGGCTCTACATGTGACTCAGCGACCTGTAATTGCTGTAACCCAAGTGTTAGACAAACAGCGCTCCTGCCCCGGCCCGCTCAGATAACACACGCTCACACTGTCACACTAGCTTTCTCTGATCGGTCTGTGAGGCTCTCGCTGTCTCACACACAGCAGACAATAGTCAGATGCTCTGGCATTCCAGCATGCCGGATGATCTGACGCGTCCAGCCCTCCATCCCAGCCGTCAATCACGCGGCTGAGTTACGGCCTCGCCGAGACGCCGTAGGCCTGGCAGACGAGGAGGAGAGTGAAATATCTCTCTGTGAATGATCTATCTTTGTGAATTATGTGTGTGAGAGTGTATGTGAGGGGTTCCCTTTCTCCTCGCTATTCAGAGAGATTGACCCCGTGGCCATAAACTACGCTCTTTCTCTCTCTCCACACACACATACACACATATAGGGATGGCACACTGTATCCATCACGCCAACTTCTTCCTGTTCTCAACCTCCACAAATCCCTAAAAACATGGATTTTAGGTTGAGCTGTAGTGCAACGGCTAGCGCACGGCCTACTGAAATATTGAGCCCTGGTGCTCATGTGGAATAGGGGGAAAAAATTCTATCAATAGTGATTAAAATACCCTGCATAGTTAAAATGTAAGAGTAAATCTGTTTTAATATTTTATTTTGCATAATATTATATTCCAGTTGTTTATTGTGTCATTGCAGACACCATATAGCTATTTTTGATGTAGATGTATATTCCATATGATATATTTCTATATTTAAAATAATATAGCTAATACAGATAATAAAATAAATAATAATATACACATATTATATACAGGGGATGAGAGAAAAAAATATATAACAGAAATTCACTACTTACTTTTACATTTTAAATGTATTAATTAATATGAATTCATAATTTTTTATAAAAGTATAATATATTGAATTTATAATTTTTATTAAATATTATTTTTTATTAAATACTTATATCTATATATAATATGTATTTTAATTTCAAAACTATTTTTAATCATATATTCGGGGGGGAGGAGGGCAATGTTGCCACTCTAATTTTTATTTTTTATTAAATGTTTAAATATATATATTATTTATTTTTATTTAAATTAAATATAATCTATTCTAGGGGAGGGGGGGAATGCTGCCCCTTAAAAAAAATCTGACAAGCTCAAGTCTTTCTGGCAACATGTTCCAAACATAAAATTATTGAATCCAATTTTAATTAAATTTGTTTAAAATAAAATATTTACATATATAATATTTAAGTTTATTTAAATAAAATATTTTTTAATAATCTATTCTGGGGGGCAAATGCTGCCCCTTAAAAAATACTGACAGGTTCAAGTCTTTCTTGCAACATGTTCCGATCATAAAATTATGGAATCCAATTTTAATTATTTTTAAATTACATATTTACATATATCATATATTTTTTTATTTAAATAACATATTTTTTAATTATCTATTATGGGGAGCAAGTGCTGCCCCTAAAGAATACTGACAGATTCAAGTCTTTCTTGCAAAATGTTATAATGGTATTTCTGTTCTCACTGCCCATAATCATCCTTCTCTATATCTAACTATCCAGAAACAACCCACTGCCCCAACCCCACCCCAAAAACACTTCAAAACACCCACATTGGTAAAGTATCAACCAACATCCACTGATCTGAGTCCGTCTGAGACTCCAGTCACATGAAAACCGTCACTAGGTCCACTAACCCTTTGCTACGGCTCATGTCAGGAGTCAACGTGTGGTGCTGATTATCAGTCGTGGTGAGGCCGGTCAGTTCCATCATGTTCCCAAAAACTGTAACATAAAGAGGGATGAGAAATGAGTGCCGAACATATTCTAAAAGCTCCCACTGTATGTTCACATATGGGCACCTATAGATGGGCATGTTATTGGAATTGCCAAAGCAAAGGTGGTCCCTGCAGTCTAGGGCGGCTGGCAGGAAAACAGATATCATTATGGAGCTGTTTGATATGCATACTGACATGCTCTCTCTCTCACACACACACACACACAGAAGCACCTGACACTCCATCATGATGTCGTCCCTGTACCTCCCAGGGGGCTGCAGGCGCTCGCTGGCATCAGAAACACATTACAGCCGAGAGATTGAGGAGCCAGAGGCCATTATCTCCCCTCTACAGCACACACCACTGCTCTCCTCCTGCAGAGACACAGAGAAACACTGTGTGTGTGTGTGTGTGTGTGTGTGCGTGTGTGTGTGTGTGTGTCAATGTGCATGAATTTGTCTGCGTGTGAGGAGAGAAGAAAAAAGAGCGATATTTTGTCTATCCAAAATTTATCCAACAGAGATATTAATGTGGCTTCAGCAAACACATGTTGAAAGGAAAGCAATGTATTATCTGAAAATTGCCTCGTTTATGTGACGATATCCTCATTTTTATGAGAGAAAAAAATACTTTTGTGTCTCTTTTTGATTCTGGTTTGCCCCTGTAATTATATAGAATATAATGTAATATTGAAGAATTGATGTTTCGAATGTCTGGCAACAATGGTAAGATTGGTGACCTGTAATCTGTCTCTGTTTTTAAGCCATTGATATTTTGCCAAAGGTATTGATGGCCTTTTCTTGACAAATTGATGTTTTTGTCACGATAATGTTTTTTTAATCACATTAAGATTTCCACCATTGATGTTTTTAGCGACGCTTCATTGACGCTTCGCAGTCTCATCAGAGTTTGTCATTTTGCATGTTATTTTAATCAGATAAATATTGAAAAGTTATTGACATTCGGTTTCATTAAGTAGATGTTGAAGGCACAAATGGTTCATGTTGTGGTGGACACACAGAAGACTGCAGCTCGTTGTGAGGCTTTTCAGTTTCTGTTGTGATGCTAAGTTTTTCATAGATAGATAGATAGACAGACAGACAGATAAAATTAAAATAAATGCATATAATGTCATATAAAGCTTAAAAATGTTAAGAAATGTAATAATAAATCAGTTACAGTTACAGAAAAATTATTTTTTCCTTTACATAAATTGTGGCCAAATTTATTTAGTTTTTTTTTTGTTTCGTTTTTTCAATTATGTATGCGTGTGAATGAGCAAGTGTGTGTCATCAGTCAAACCATACAGGGGTCAGAAAACAGGATCACCAGGCAGGACAGATGTTCTCATGAGCCTGATGGCATCCACAGCAGTAATTTAATTTTATCTAAAGACAAACTGTGCAAAACTGTCTGAAATCTAAAAAGAAGCAGAAAAAAAGGGATCGCAAGAAAGACAGACAGCACTTGGGAGTCGTGGACAGATAAAAAGCCTCTTTATGGGTTATTACAAGCACCTCTTTCATTTGCTCGCTGACACACAATGAAAAATTAGGATGAGGCACGACTGCTCCGTCTCCAGCAGTGTGGAATCACCAGGA